TAACGTGACTCTCCTGCTTCTTTGGGAAGGAGCCTTGAAAGTAAAAACCAGAGGCAAGTGAAAACTGCTAATGCTCAGTTCATCTTCATTGCTTTAGAAGCTTTTAATGTTAAGTTTTGATCTTGTTTCCTTCTAAGGTACCAGTCTGAGATTCTTTATGGGCTAGCCTGACCAGGCTCTAAGTCTGAGCAACCCCAGTCATGTGGAAGGGATTCCTTCTCAGATATTATGCACCAGGCAGACTTTATCCTTTGATCCTGTAAATTTTGGCTCCTTTCTCCATGTGGCCAAGTTTTGTTTTTGCTAAGCAAAAGCCATTGCACTGTCAACATTTTCTTACAAGATTTAATGCATAAAAATGGAGAGGATCCTGAAGTGATTTCTTTCTGCTTGTTCATTTGGCTGGTTGTACCTGGAATGAAAATGTATTTCAGTCTTAGGCAGTGTCAGGCTCAAAGTCTGCAGTTGCTCATGCACTAAGATTGCAGAAAGCTGTAGACTCAGCTCAGTGTCCAGAAGAATGTGGAGATCTCAGACACAAAAAGTATCACCACACTTAGATTATCTAACTGTATCTGCTGATTTGCCTTTTAATTTCTCATGCTCAGGCTACGATTCCAGTTTGCATTTCCTGTAGCACACATTTTCGGGTGCGCTATGTTTGGGTTGCTACCGTGGCTGCTGGTCATGTATGATGTGTGTGTGTGCTGAAATATACAGTACAAAAAGCTTTGCAGAAACGCTCTTGTTGCAGGATGAAGCTCCCCAGAACCATTTGAATTCAAACTTTGTGAAAAACTGGAGCTCTGCAACTCTTCACAGATGCGTCACTCATCAGGTCTATTCTGTATGATTCTTCTGGGAGGAACTGGTTTCCTTCCAAGGACATGGTTGAGAGTGATAACGCTCTTTAAGGCAAGTGTGGGTCCAGAACTAGTTTGGAAAGCAACACTTGAACTATGGATTTCTCTTTATGAAGATACTTTTTGTTGTTTGCCATCTATATTATTGATGGAGCCACATGTTTTGAACAATAGAGATGGCTTGTGTTTCACAGGCCTTGGGGTGTCCAATTTGGGGCTGACACAATCGCAGAGAGAAATTCCCCTGCTCCCAGCACACTTCTCAGGCCGGCAGATCCCAAGGTGTCTCCATCACAGACATTTAACTGAATGCCCCTCTGCCAACACCAGGCTTGTCCTGGTTCTTTGGCATTGTGGCAGGGTGTCTGGAGCTGCTGACCCCTATGCGTGCTGTCAGAAAGCTCTGGGCTCAGCATGAGAGCTGGTGTGGCATGCAGGGCTTGATACTCAGGCAGTTTCATTCCCAGGGTGTCAACAAGACCATGCTTGACCAGGATGGAGATGAGATGAACAGATACTCTTGCAGGCAGGGAAGGAATGCTGCAGTTTACAGAAGTTAAGTTTGCAAATACACAAGTGGGTTTTCACCAGTAAAACTGACTCAGGGAGTCTCCTCTAAATCTAAATCCTCTAAATCTGGACTCTGAATCATGAGCTGCTATTCTTTTAATAGCTCTTAATAAAGCAAAAGATGTGGTTTCAACCAAATTTTTTCCAGGGGAAAAATACCTCTCTGGTGATAACTACTACTTGCTCTCTTAATCAGATGAAATGATTTTGCTCTGAATTTGGTGCACAGTGAAGTTTCTCCTCAGGCAGAAGCAGCTAACTTCAAAAGTTTTAGCTACAGCAGGTGTAAGTTCAAGGAGGCCACAACTCACTGCTGTCCTTTAGAATAGACACAGTGCCACTTTGACCCACAGGTCTTGCCATGCATCTTCCCTTCAGGATTTTAGTGTTGTGAAATACATGCCTCTGGTCAGGCATAACAGCTCTAAAAATTAATGAGGTACACACAGAGGCTAATAATTTTCCCACAGCAGAGCCGTGGGAGCAGCCTCAGAAAAGGCTGGGAATGCAGTAGGGGCCACAGGAGGAACCCAGCAATTAGCCGATGTTGGGTGTAAAGGGAAAGTTAGGCCTGAGCAGGACCCAGATTAACCGGAGAAGTTGAGCACTGGGCTCTGTGCTTCCCATCCTCCACCAAGCCCTGCAGGAGAACAGTGTGGTGCATATATATCACATTAAATTTATCCCATTTGTAACCAGTGGTTCTCATGGGAAAGGCTCTGTTACCCGGGTGAGTAGGAAATGTCTCAAAAACCCAGGGCATTAAGAGTACGTGTCAATTGTTTCCTTCCAGGCGCTTTGGGAAGGGAGCCTAGAAATTTATCTCAGCATTTGCAATAATATAAACAGATGCCAAGCGCTTCAAGTACACAGAAAAGGAAAATGTCTTTCTTGGCCTCCCTGAACAGGCTGGGAGGAAGGGGGAAGACAAAAAGCAAACATGAAGAAGGTCTCTGCCTTGCAGAAAAGGGAAAGGCAGCTAAGTAATGCAGGTGTTTGCCTGTGTAAATACAATTTAGTTTCATATTAGCAAAATCTGTAGGGTGTGCATGTGGTCAAAAGATTAAAGAGATTGTCCAGTTCAGTTGGCAGCATGCTGAAGCATGAAGAGTACAGGCTTACTATGATGGATTTCTCTTATCGAGCTGACTGCAGAATTAAAGTGATTCAAAGGAGGATATTGGTTTAATACAGATGCCAGCATTGCCCCATCCTTTTGCATCTGGCTTTTGGATGCAGACCTGGCTGTGAGAATCCCTTGGGATCTGCTACCACTGCCCTGTCCATCCCAGGGCCTCCCCCACCTGACAACTCCTGCTTGTGCACTGATAAGATTTCCCCTTCTCTGTCCCTGTGCCATCTGCCATGTTAAAGCTGATGTTTCCAGTGGCTGGAATAGCTTTCCTAGTTTTCCACAACACGCTAGAGCTAAACCCTATCTCCAGGTGTGGATCTGTGGGGTCTCACTGCAGATGTCTCCAGTGTGGGCATTGCAGCTCTGGCCATTCCCTCTGCAGGGCCAGCCTGTTTCTGAAAGGTCACAGAGCTGGTACCCTGGGCTGCAGGCAGCAGATGTAGATGCCTCTTCTGTCACTGTGGTGCTGCCTGGTTTTGGACCTTGCACGACCCTGGATTTCTGTTTCTTTTTTTGTCCTACTTCCTGAGATGACAGCTTACTAGTGTCTGCACAGCTGTGGGCCCTGGCAGTGGCAGGAGATGCACATGTGATGGTGAACTTTTGAGAATGCAGATTTAAGAATCCTTTTTCAGATGCTATTTTATACTTAAGTAACTCAACAGCAGCATGCATTGAACATTTCTACCTTCTCCTCTGTGTTTATCTTTCAAAGGAGCTACTGCTGGAGCTCTGTATACCTCATGAGTAGGGGCATGGGCTACATGCGTAGATGGGAATGAGAGTGAAGCATGAGCTATTATCATAAACTGCTGGCCCATCTTGCATTCAGCTCATCATTGCATCATTTGCAAAGCCCTTGGGGAGCTAAGTTAGCTATTTTAAAGTTGCTATCAAGGAGGACCACTCTGATTAAGAGACTTCTTGAAAGGTTTTCTTTCAGTATGAAAATTCACATGCAAAAAAAAGGTGAGGGATTCTCCAGACTTTGCAGTTGGCCTCAAGAGTGGCACGTGTGGGGTGGATTTCAGTTTGTTATGGAAATTGGGAGCTTTGTGCCTGAATTTTCAGTTGTTCAGTCTCTAAGGTTAACTTTCTCAAGTTGGAGATGCATGTGTAGCAGTGAACTGCTGGCTGCAGGCTCTGGCTTTCCTCATGTGCTGGCATTTCTTGTGTCTTGTCAACAGATGTTTCATCTGGAACCTTGTACACAGAAGCACCTCTGGCTTCGGAGCCAGTCACCCTTGTCTTGTTGGGTGCCCACCTGTTTGTCAGCAGTTGCTGTGGTGTCAAGAGCAATGTGGTTTAACACCATGCAAGGTCTCAGTGTGCACTAAGAACAGTGGGAGGTGAGGGAACTGAGATGGTGGCTCCGCAGAGGGACAGCTCTGCAAACAGGCTGTGGTGAGCAGGAGTAAATGACTGTGCCTGCTGATAAATGCATTTGTTCTTGTGTTTGTGGCTCATTCGCTCAGGTAAATTTACTTTAGTCAGTAATAGAGTGGGTCTGTTTATCCCAACCTCTCTGCGCTGCAATGACACAGGAATGGGGAAATCAAACTTGGTCAAAAACTCACAGTGCAGCTGTCATTTACCAAGAGTTACATCTGAAGGAGCTGTTTGTAAAGATCACAGGAAGATGTCTGAATTATCTGGGCACAGAAAATGACATGGAAATGTTTTCTATAAGCACAGGGAAAGATTATTTATCCCCACTTGGTATAAGGTACAGAAAATAAAACCTTTTCATCAAATTTATCAAAAAGGCATAACAATTGGCCAGTGTAGTTTCAGTGCTTCAGTTTGAAATGAAAGTCTCTATGAAAAAGAAAATACATACTTTTTTTATTCCTTTGTTTTTATTTTGGAAAGTGTCAAGCACTTAAAGTTTACAATAGCTTATGCTAGTGCTCATTCTTCATCTGCTTTGTTATAATAATACCCTCATGGTACTTTGACACTTGGTAGTCAATGGGCTACACTGTCAAGTGGTGCAAATTTTGTTGCTCTAAGTTCCTCATTTAGGCTGGATTGGTTTGCACAAAGTAAGTGTTAAGTCCAGACAATGTATTTGGTAAAATAAATGGAAAAAATAATGTAAAATGTTTTTGAAGGGCACTGAATTCGATATTGCAAAATTAATATGGTGGCCTTCTGTGGTTGTTATTATTTTTAAATGAGTCACAAGGACAGAATAATTATTAGAGGGTCTGCACTGGCATGCACTCACTCTCAGAGATGATTGTACAAAAAATACTTTTCCAAATGGTAGCTAAAGAGCTCCTAGCTCACCTTTGGAGACATGAAGCATGGTACTAGTTCATGTCAGACCAGCTTGATATTGGAAAGAAATGCAGCATGGACTGTACTGGCTGGTGATGCACAAACTCTAGGCAGTTGAAGTTAATATTTGCTGTGCTTGTGTTCCCCAGGTCATCACACCATCTACATTGGGGTCCACGTGCCAAAGAGCTATAGGAGAAGGAGGCGTCACAGAAGAAGACCTGGGCACAAAGAAAAGAAAGAAAAGGAGAAAATCTCTGAGAACTACTCTGACAAATCGGATGTAGAAAACGCTGATGAGACAAGCAGCAGCATCCTTAAACCACTCAGTAAGTGCTGGTGTCAGTTGTCCCTCACTGCAATGGTCTGTTGTCTAGTGATCTGCTCCTGATCTGATCATGGAGGGGGAAATTGGATCCCCCAAAACATTCACCTCGGGTTGCAGGGTCGAAATATTGTATCACCTAAGTTTGCCAATGCCAGCCAGAAACAGGCCAAATTTTAAAAAGCAATTTGACACCCTGTGTAAAGAGATAGCAAGGAAATGCAAAGGCTGAGTGGATGTCTAGGCAGATCTGTTGCAGCTTCTGCCCTGGCTCTCCAGACAGGCACCCTGTCTGCAGTTCAAGCACCCCATGATTTCAGCTGGAAATGGCCTCCTAGGAGCAGGTTGCTGAGCAGCACCAAGACCACTGCTGTAGGCGGTCAGAAACATACCTGCTTGGGATTTGGTTTCATTGTATGCACTTGTAGTGCTAAGAAATCTTACTCTTTCAGTAATTCACCAGCTTTAAGTTTTGCAAACTGAAGAAGGATAAAATGTAGCATTATTGTATGTTTGAGTATCTCTAGGTGATGAATGTCTGAATTTTGATAGGCAGATGAGGTCTGATTTTGATGCCCTGAATGGAAACTATTGTACTGTGTTCCAGTTGTACTGAAACTGATACCCAGAAGAGAGAGCTCTTTTTCTAGTGCCATCACTATGCAGCTCTTCTGTACCATCATGGGACATTTTCATTAAGTCTCATTCCTCATGTTTTCCTCTCTGTTGGCCACAATCTTGTTCTGAAATCTGGGGGCTGGCTGCTTCAATAGAAGTGGAAGAGAGATGGTGACAGCCTGTGAAAAAGCAAATCTGCTAATAAGGTTTGAATGTAGAACAGCCCATTGATGCACAGATGATGGAGACTACATGATTGGAGTTTCATTAAAGAACTTGTTTGTAAGGGGGAAGATGCTTCCTTGTGTGTGGGAGAAAGGGGAGCAAGCAGGGATCACGTGACTTGGTCTTTGAAGAAATAGTCGAAATTTTAATTTTGAAATTGTGTTGCTGGACAGTTAGTGCATATAAAGCCATTTCCATGGAATCAGATCAGTCGTGCTTATCTCAGAACCTGTTACTCTTGATGGTGCAGATACTGCAGAGAACAGCAACTGGCAAGGAAGGCAAAGTCCGATTGCCCTTCAGTACTTCTAGTTTTCTGTTTGTTCCAAGGAAGTTTTCTTGTCAATGCTCAGAAGCCAGGAGCTGTTTTTAAACTAAAAGGCAGAATTATCTGTCTTCAGGTACTCTCTAGATATTTGAAGTTTATTTTTTATATTTACATCTCTGTTGTTTTTTGGTATGCAGTTGACCAGATCTGTAGAAATTCCTTCTTAGCTTCTGGATGTATCAGTGTCCTTGGGGAGTCATTTCCATAGGCTAATTGTGCCCGTGGTTAAAACCTATTTCTTCCATCAGGTTTTGATTTTCTGCCTTTCGTTTTGTTCATCATTGTTTTGTGTCACTTGAGAAAGAGTTAATGCTATTTTCTCCTCCTTAGTTTCTACAGGTTAGTATATTTTTATCTACACTTTATTTCCATGTAGAAAGGTGCAGACTTCTCATCACTCTCTATCTGAGAATTTTCTCATATTCTTTTCTACCCTGGCCTCTTTGCACTATGTATTTTTGGAGTAGGATCACTTAAATACCACACAATATTCCAGATAAAGAATATTCCCATACAACAGCATTAATACTACATAGTTTGTAACTTCTGTGTTGTTCATCAGCTCATATATCCAGATACTTCACCGGGTTCCTGCAAAGACTTGCTGCTTTGCACTGGTGGCCAGATCTTTTTACGAGCTGGCACAGTTAATTTAGAACACTGTAAAGGATAGGAGTAGTTCAGATTACTGTCTTGAATTTCCAAACATTGAATTACATGTTGCCTCATATCCCCAGGTTTGGTTTTTTTTTCCTTCTGAAACTTTTGTATTTCATACCTGACCTGAATGATTTGTGTCCTACACTTTTTTTTGCTTGCTAAGGAGCCTTTCTTCTCTAGTTTGCACATGTAGTAATGCCTGGCTTCCTTTCGAAATTTCTACTCTTTGTTTGTCACTCTCCTTCATTTCTAAGTGGCTCTTTATTTCCATTTCATTTTCTATCTCTTAGGTTCTTGCCAATCTGAGGCAGTTGTTGGATAGTCAGACTGTACCAGCTTTAGATGTCTCCTACTGGAACTTTGAGGAAGGCTTTTTGAGGGTCTGATGTGCTTATGTGCTGTATTCACTCTTGAGTCATGGCAAGTGTGTCTGAGAAAAGGGCAGTTCTCTTCAGACAAAGCTTACCAGCTTAGTCTGATATTCATTACTGGCAATCATGGCAGGAACTGTCAGTTATAACCTTGTTTTTAAAAAATCTTCCTCTGACAATAATAAATGAATGAGGAATATGTGGCTTAAATTCAGTTTCAAAAGAGGAATAATATTAGAAACAAAGAACTAGGGAATTTTGAACAGCAATTTTAATGGAGTTGGGAGAAAGCTGAAACGAAATACAGCACAGGTATTTGAGACAGCATCAGAAGCTGAAGTATCTGTTAGGGCTGTGCAGTTTAGCACAGAGGGACAGGATGAAGGTGTTTGGCCTGGAATAGGGTTGCCTCTTGGCCCATGGCTCCATTGTGGCCAGGAAAGGAGAGCCTTTGGGATTTTGCTTTTCTTCTTTGAAGGGGGGAAAAAATAGCAGCTGGGCAAGAAGTGAAGTGGAGACAAGCAGAGCAGAGTCTGACATGCTTGAGGTGATTTTGCAGGGATGATTACAAGGGGATGGCTTTTGTCCGAGATAGGCTGGCTCTGCAGGGCGTTGCTGGATGTGCATGGGGGGTAACACAGGGTTTCCAGGGCCTCAGAAGAAGGGATAAAAAATAAGTGCTAAACACCAAGGGAAGAGGAAATCCTGAGCCTGCTGTGCCCTCTTTCACAGCTTTACCTTTCCTGTGATGAGACCCAAGAATAGAAGAGCGAGGGTGTTGCAGTTCCCAGGATTAAGGCTGCTGGAGCAGCTCTGTTAAGGACCTTTGCATAACACCACTTGGTGTGGTGCCTGAATGGCAGGGGGGAACTCTTCTCACCCTTCCAAACTCATGTCACATTCACCCCTGCTTCAGGTACCCCCTGGGGACTGCAACTTCAGGGATGCTGGGTTGCGAATATCAAGTGTAGGACACTGCCTTCAGGAAAGCTGCAGAGGAGGTGATGTGTGCAAGTTTCATGACATGTTACAATGAAAATGCTGTTTATGTAGCTGATGGTGAGAGGGAGCGCTGAAACAGATGATATTTCAGTCCTTTCCTTAGAATTGGAAGGTTTTGGGTTTGTATATTCAGTTTATTAACCATGTTTTAAAACAAAAACCCCTCACTTTTACATGAAGAAGCCCCAAACACCTTGAGGAAAGGTAGAATGCATTGCAGTCTCTGAAATCAAGAATTTACAGAGCTACTCTCTTTGTTCATTTTTGCAGTTGTTAACTTGGCCAAGCATTAGACACTGCCAGTTCAACTTCTTCATAATTGGTAGTTTATTTCATCTTTGAATGTAAGGACAAGCATACAGAGTTTGATTTGCAAAATCTGTAGTATCATAGATATTAAATAGTTCCTAGAAGTTTAGGGAATAACTTGATGTCTCCATCATCTCCACAGGTTGAGAGAGTTGGGGTTGGTTGTTCAGCCTGGAGAAGAAAAGGCTGCAGGGAGACCTTGGAGCACCTTCCAGTGCCTGAAGGGGCTCCAGGAAAGCTGGGGAGGGGCTTCTCATCAGAGAGGGCAGTGATAGGACAAGGGGTTTTAAACTGAAAGAGGGGAGATTTAGGGTAGACATCAGGAAGAAATTCTTCACCATGAGGGTAGGAAGGTGCTGGAATAGGTTGCCCAGGGAAGCTGTGGAAACCTTATCCTTGGAGGTGTTCCAGGTTGGATGAGGCTTGTGCAGCCTGGGCTGGTGGGAGGTGTCCCTGCTCATAGCAGGGAGGTTGGAACCTGATGATCTCAAAGGTTCCTTCAAACCTTCACCATTCTGTGGTTCTTTGAGTATACTGAGAGTTTTTTTGTTGTTTTTGGTTTTGTTTTTTTTTTACTGAGTAGAAAGCTTCAGCCAGCAGCGATGCTTTACATCACGTCTATTTCGTGATCTCTCCTCAAGGACCATGTAGCCTAAACCCAGGGATGTTACCTGAAGATGATTGCTCAGCTTCTTTGATGAGAATTGCACAGGCAGATTTTGACCAAATCTGGATTTGACTCACCAGGTGAGGCTGCTTGGCCCACAACAAATGCACCTGAAGAGACACGTCTGTGGGTGCAGGCCAAAGAGTCAGCAGGTCCAGAAATGCAAACCTTCCCATTCAAAACCAGTCTAGCTGCACTTCTGTATGTGAGAAATTGGTGCAGTCTGGAAATGTAACCTTTAAAAATTTTTTTTAAATCTGTGTCTAGTTCAGTGAAACAAGCCAAACTCTAGCAATTTATAAACAACCTTCAGCTCTCCCATCTGGAGAGAGTCAGGGAAATTGAACGTGTACAGATATGTTTTATCTGGACTAAATTATTTCTTGGGAAAGATGCCTGCTTCAAAACTCCAGATAGGATTTCTCAATGTATTCTCTGATACACTGAGTAGGAGGTTTGAAGGCAATCTTCCCTCTGCAGAGCCCTTTCACTATATTCCAGGCCTGCAGGGCTGTCTCTGTGCTTGGAAAGAACCACTGGAGCTCCCAGCCTTGTTCCCAGGCAGGACTGCTGACAGCAGAGCTGACAGACTGTTAGAAACCCATGTCCCAGGTGAAGGCTACCATCACCTTCTTCCTAACAGCACCTCCTTTAACCAGCATGGCCCTGGTTTCCACTTACAGCCATTGAGAAGAAAATATTTTTTAGCAGTGGTTATTCTGCACCCTCCAGGAAGCTGGCATACAAATACTATTTAGGTAAAAAAATAAATAAATTATTGCATTACTAATAAATGGGCTTTAAATACCCTCTTCTCATCTACC